GTGGGCCTCTCGTCTGCGCTTGGCTCCTGCGACTCCGTTCTGCTCGCAACCAGATTTTTTAAACAGAGGGAGATTCTGCCGAAAGCTAGAGATTCCCCCTTGCAACATGCAAATGGCTTGGGCAGTCTGCCCCAAGGGAGAACTGGTAGCAGGTTTAGAATTGGGTCCCACACCCTTCCCTCGTCACTCTCCCCTCATCTGTCACCAGTCTATTCCTCTTCTTTGCCAAATTCACCATCCTTTTCCCCTGAAAGGGTCTCAAAGGCTAAGCTATTTACTCTGGGAACGTGAAGGGCTTGACTGATGCTGGGGAGTTGAGGGGGAGGTTCAGATTGGTTAACTCCCCACAGTACTACAGTTCTGCCCTCACCACCGCAAAGCTTTGTGTGCTAACTACGTGCAGGGCACAGTGCTAAGTACTTGGTTCACGAAATGATACAGGAATCGGTATTGCCACCAAATTATAGATACAAAACTGAAATGCTAAGGAGCTATTGTAGCTTACCCAATGTCACTCAATTAGTAAGTGACAGAGCTTGGATTCAAACCCATGTCTGCCTGCCTCTAAAGTCCTTCTCTTAGAGCATCTTCCTTTCAGAGATGGAAATCCACACACTGAGACTAAGCCAACCCAGGGCAAGGGACGCCTGATCTCTGGCAGGCCAAGAGGACTTGTCAGTCGGCCAATCTGTGACAGAGGTGGACATAGGATTGAAAGCTAATTAGAAATCAAGGGCCATATGAATAGAAAATACTTCTAAGATGATGCTAGAACTTCTTCCCAGAGTGGTGACCCGGGACCGACTCCTGGTCAGACCACGAGAAGGCACCACTTGATGGCATCATGTCAGTGGCAAACAGAGAGGAGGATACCGACTGGAGTTTCTTTCACACTTGCTGTGGGCTTCCCTGCTGCTTTCCTACATGGTCTTTAGTTCTGTTTGGTGCCCTGGTCTTTTAGGAAGGCTTTTGGGGGCACACATCAGCTGTCAAAGTGGGCAAATCAGTGCTTTCAAAGATGTCACCCCCACCCCACCCCCAAGTCAGTGCAGCCTGATTATGATTCTGCCCAGCAGTTAGTTAGAAATCACAGCCTCAGGGCCGAGCTGCCCCCCTCAGCCCGGGGCTCAGCACCACCCCCTCTGTTAGTTTCAGCCCTTTGTTCAGCTGCCCTTGGAGAATGAGCTGAACAGGAACCTTCGCCTGGAAGAAGGGGGAATCTGACTTGAGCTTTTGCAGAGTCCCAATTTGCCAAAGACTATGTCAGCCAGGGCACGGGTGCTGGAGCAACACCTGCCTCTGCCTGGCCTGCCTACTGAGCAGGGGCTGGGCCTCAGAATTGTGAAAACTGCTTTAAAGGAGAGGCCATAATCTCCCACTCGGCCTCCTAGAAATGAGTCCTCTGTTGCCAGGCATCTTGCATCTGAACTTGGCCTTCTCTCCTGCTCCAATTCCATTTCTTTAAGCTCCCTCCCGCCCCCACAGCTTTAGAAGCAGGCTGGTACAACATGAATTAATGAGAGCCTTTTCTTTAGATGAAGAACAGGAGGGTCTCTCTGTCCCTTTCCTGTATGAAACCCAAGTTCCTTAGTAGAAAGTCCAGATGAAACTCAGAGGCAGCAGAATTGCATGGGGAGCGGGGAATCATAACAGATTCCCCAAAACTTCTTTCATCAGGGGACAGGAGGACTCGAGGCAAATATAGGCTCATCCTTCTAGAAAGAAGCTTAGACTGCAGAGGGTCCTGCCCTTTATTTTACTAATAGAAAAATCTCTCCAGATTATTCCATGAGCTGCTCTTGGGACAATGGAGGTAATCCTTTCTATCTAGCAACTACAGGTGACTTGAACCTCTTAGAATTTGTCTAGGCAAGTGGACCTGAACTTCTCTGGAAAGCCTGATTTGCCTCAGCCTGCCCCAGACCAGGTCCTTCTCCCCAGCCGACCCACTCCCTGTCTTCACACTGGTATATTCCTCCCCTCCTTCTCTGTCCTACTTCTGCTGCCCCAAGACACCTCTTCACCAAGGTCTGAATTAAGCCCATCTGTTAAAAGTAACAATTACAACCCAGGCCTGATGGCTTCTTGCTTAGGTATAGCTTCAAACCAACTATAAATTGGGCGCCTGTCAAGGACCTACATCCCGTAGACCTTCAAGCAGACACAGGTGGGAAGTGGTGGGGGGGAGTTTAAACATCTCTGGGCTCCTTCTTCTGTGATGCCTCCCTCTGGCATCCAGAAAGACAGGGTAAAGGGGGCCACCCTCTCATGAGGACCCATCATCCTCCCTGAAAGTGAAAATCCTTCCTGGAAAATGCAATCCATGATAGTGATACCTACCACCTGCCCAGAGGGGCCAGGAAATTATCAGTAAGTCTCTTCCC